TTTATTTATTTATTTATTTATTTATTTATTTTAGAGACAGGGTCTCACTGTAGTCGAGACTGACCTGGAACTCACTATGTAGCCCAGGCTGATCTTGAACTCACAGCGATCCTCCTGCCTCAGCCTCCCGAGTGCTGGGATTACAAGTGTGCGCCACCACGCTTGGCTTTATTTATTTACTATTTACTTATTTACTTACTTGAGACAGTCTCCCTATGTAGTTAATAGGCCTTGAATTCATGTTGATCCTCCTGCCTCAACCTTCTGAGTGTAAGGATTATAGACGTGTACTACCGTGCCCAGCTCTGTTTTTATTTTGAGATAGGGTCTCACTAAGTTGCTGAAGCTGGCCTTGAATTTATGATCTTCCTGTCTCAACTTCCCAGAATGCTGGGGTTACATTACAGGCATGCACTACCATACCTGGCAGAATTTTTTTTTTTTTTTTTTGGTATTGGGGATTGAACTCGGGTCCTTGTGTTTGAGAGGCAGGTGGTGGACCACTGAGCTAAATCCCTGGCCCTGGCAGACTTTTTTTTAAATACATATTTAGCAGTTCTAATCTCAAAACCCGTTATTCAAAATGCTCCAAAATCTGAAACATTTTGGGTGGAGCATTTCTGACTTTGAATTTTCAGATCAGAGATGTTCACATGGTAAAATCTATGCAGATATTCCAAAATCTGAAAAAAAAAAATCTGAAATCTGAGACACTTTTTCCCCCTCTGGTACTGGGAATCAAACTCAGGACCTTGCACTTGCCAGCCAGGTGCAGTGCCACTGAGCTAAATCCCCAGCCCTGAAATCTGAAACACTTTTGATTTTGGAGAAGATGTACAAAACCTGTGTTATTGTCTTTTTTGGTTGCTATTGCAAATGAGGTCAGGATTTTTTTTTTTTTTTTGGTACCGGGGATTGAGCTTGGGTCCTTGTGCTTGTTAGGCAGGCAGCAGAACCACTGAGCTAAATCCCCAGGTTTTTTTTTAAAGATGTTTATAACTTCTGCTCCATCAAAGTTTAGGTGTTCTGATCTCAAGCCATCATTTTCTCTTCTTGTACATCAGTAGCTTTCTAATTTTAAGCTTACCCCTTATCCTTTGGCCCTTGTCCTGTCTGTGTGGCATCTAGTGGCCAGAGGGATCATCTTACATATAAAACATATCATTCTTGGACTCTGCTTTTGGTACTGTTCCACTTTGTCACTGTAATAACCTTGGTGGGCTTGCAGGGGTCTTTGTGACCTGGCCCTTCCACCTGGCAAGGCTCATTCTGCCAGTCATGTTGACTTTCTGGAAATCTGAGGTAGGCTAAGCTGCATCTTGCTAGTTCCTTTGCACTTGTTCTTCTACCTGGATACACTCTTGCAGTGCTTTGCCCAGTATTCTTTGTTTCCTGCATGTTTCAGTTTAGTATCTCCATTGTGGAGAGTCTTTCTGTGACTGTTTTAGGTAGAAGTCCCCCTCTACCTTGTCATTCTCTATCTTACACTTCATTTCCTTGCTTCATTGTGTTTGTTGGTAGCTCTGATTCCTTGTGTGTTTATCTGTTTACTTCCTTGCTGTTCTCTTCTATCAGAATGTAAACTCCATAAGGGTGGCAACCATTTCTCTTTTATTCATAGCATATAGTGATTGGCATATTGGAGGCACTCAAAAAATATTGGTGAAATCAATGAATAAATCAGTCCCTGGCCAGCCAAGTTCCCACTGGTCATTGAAAAAAGTGGTTTTTCTTTCCTAGTCTTCACATATGTCAGTTTCTCCAAATTCTCCACTGAGATGACCCATATTTGTGATCTTCTCTGGCCTGAGAAGATACCAACTTAAGCATTGATGCCCCTTGGCTATTTATTTTATGATTTCTGGGGCCTCCAATGATGTCCCAATGGTCATCTTACCCCTTTTTTCCTAAAGATGAGATAGCTCTTAATTCAATATCTGTATCTCTCTTGTTTCTCCGGATCTCTGGCAAAAGAACTGTTCTCAATTCTTGATTCTAGGAGTATGGCAAAAGTATTAGGGTCTGAAATACGTAATAAAATTGGAAAAGAATTACCTCATGGGAGAGAAGACTCAATGAGTGGGAAGAAGGCTGAGTGTCATCCATTTTCTCAGCTCAGGTGTCTCCCTGTGTCCAAATAGAGTCAGTTGCTGCCTGTGCTCCCAGGGCATCCTGTCTGTGTCACCGTCACAGTGTATATCACTGGTTCCTCCCCTCTTTGTGTGTTTCTGAGATCCTCAAGGAGCCTAGTCATCTGCAGTTATTTAGTACATGTTTGCTTACTGAGTGACAAACACTTTTGTACCAAGCTCTTTCAAGTCTTGCGAGAGCTTATCTCCTTTTGGTAAAGCCACCCTCTTCCTGGATGGTTCCGGCTGTGGCTTTGGGGTTCCTCCTGAGGTCCCTGCCATGGTGAAGTCTTGGTTTTTGTCTTTGTTATATTTGGTTTTAGATTATATCGTTGGGAGTAGGGAGATAGCATGTCTTGATTCAGGTGGGTCGTTTATAAATTGTTTCACACAGAAGGAAATAATTTGTATGTTTATTATTTATATTTAGAGAAATAATCGTTCCTCACTGAAGAAAATTTGGAAAGTAGAGGCAAAGTAGAAAATGGATTGATGGTGATTTTTTTCTGTTTTCTCTTCATTCTCCTCTGTCCCCATCTTTCTTACCTTTCCACCTCCCTGTTTCTCCTTGCAGAAATTCTTGAATTTGCTCGAGAAATTGGTATTGATCCCATGAAGGAACCGGAACTGATCTGGTTGGCACGGGAGGCCATTGTGGCCCCACTGCCTATGCATTGGAAACTATGGTAAGTTAGCAGGGGTGTGGCCCCTTACCTTGGTCTGTTTGAGGCAGAGGGACCTGACACTGGAGATCAGTTTTAATGGGCCACCTTTTCCAAGCCTTTCCTGCATAGTCAGGGACAGCACTATCATTCTTCTGCTAATCGTTTTCCTGTTTCAGGCCATTGCATCAGTTGATTTGATGGTCCCCGTGATGGGTTCTGGCACTTATTCTGGGACCATGAAACTGCTGCTCTTGCTCAGGTCCTCTATAACCCACCTGAGGTGTCTTTTCTTTTTCTTTTTTTTGGGGGGGGCAGACAGTAAGGTTTATTTATTTATTTATTTATTTGGGTACCGGGGATTGAACTTGGGTCCTTGTGCTTGCAAGGCAGGCACCGAACCACTGAGCTAAATCCCTGGCCCTTTAAGGATACATCTTTTCTTTTTTTTCTTTTTTTTTGGTGCCAGGGATTGAGATCGAATTTGGGTCCTTGCGCTTGTGAGGCAGGCGGTGGAACCACTGAGCTAAATCTCCGGCTGTAATTTTATTTTTTGTTTTTACTTTTTATTAGCATGTTTGCAATACATAATAATTGCATGCCTGAAGTGTCATTGTGATTCCTTGCAGACTGATCCTGAAAGTGACAACTACCTCCTTAGCATGTCCAGAATGGGTGCTGTTGCCACAGAGGTTTACAGTGAGGCTCTGTAGACTGCCAGTGGGTTTTGTCTCCCTTAGCAGTGCGTGGCTCTGCCATCCTTGAATTCGTGTAACCCAGTCATGAGTAGGTTCCCATTTGTTTGTTCATTGATATTTTCAGTTTCAGTTAGAGCTCTTTGGATTATGAGGACAGAGAGCCATTCAGAGTATCTCTGGGAAACAGATTGATGGTGAAGAAATAGGGGCTGAAAGTGGCTGCAGTCACTGCTGCTGACAGTCTGTTTCCAAGGACTGTGTCATCTCCTGCTCACAGTGATGGTTTTTTGCACTGTCCTCCTCTTTTTACTTCCCCTTCCTCGTCCCCTGTCCAGTGCACTCCAAGTTGTCTTCCTAAAACGAGGGACATAGTTTACTTCCTACCTTAGAGTGGGGTTTCCTATGTTTGTACCAAACTATACCCAAGATGCCTTGGGAGGGATCCCTCTCATGCTGGTGAGGTGCAGTTTGGTGGGGTAAGGTGTAATCATCCTGTTCTTACACCATTTAATGTGTTGGCTGTTCTTCAAAATGACTGCAGTTGTCATCTTACCCTTCTCAGCTGAAGATTCATAAGTCCTTTTAGCTTTTCCTTATGTGGTAGTCTCCATGTTTTCGTGATGTTTTTAGATGCCTTTCCTTGGATCTTCTCCAGTTTCATGACATCTTATAGGAAGGAAATCTGTCAGCAATTTACATAGTATTTCAGGTGCTGAGGACTCATGGGTGTGTTTGTAGAGTGAGCTTATAGGAAGTCATTTTCTGATACCCTGATGAAGGGCAGGACATTGTCTTTGGCGAAGGGCTAGTTTTATGCTAGTTTTCTTCATTTACCCACTAGTGCGGCTAATACTCCCTTGTCCTATAGGGAGAACATGAACTATTACAGCTTATTTATATATGAAATCTTTTTTTTTTTTTTTTTTT